CAATTAAGACAGAATGTTATCCCCAAATTACACACAAGTTTTATAACACAGTCACTTGGATGGACTACATCACATAGATCTCATATAGAGTATCCATGTAGAACCCGAAATAAAATTATACCATAGACTTCTCATCAGTTCTTTTTAATATCTTTGAAGACTTTGCATGGTTCTTTAACGATAAACAAATCCATCTTGCAAAAATCTGATTAAGAAAAACATTGCAATGGAATGGAGGAGGATNCTTCTTTTTTTTTTTTTTTACTTAAGAAAATTAAAATCTATAGCCTATAGATGAAGTATATATATATATAATTTTTATTTATTTATTTTTTAATTCGATATAGATATATAAATATATATACCTTTTTTTTCTCGTGTGATTAATCCTGTTTTCTAACTTTCATTTCCAGGCGCTTACTGATAAAAGATTATTTCTGAAATGTTTTAAAGAAATATTGTTCAATTTAAGAATTTCAGATGAACAATTTTCTTTTAATTAATAATATATTTAAACCTCTATTTACTACCGTCATTCGTTCACGTCTTAAATTATCATTAAGTCGAGGGGTATGGCGCTAAATCGAAGTATTGTACTTTAAACGATTTCAATTGAAATATTATAGTGATGATATATACACACAAATTTGAGTTGAAAGGTTCGAAAATAGGGTAATTTGATGGCGATAATGCGGTTTAAAATGCAAAATTGTATTGAAGGGTTCGGAGTCGGATTAAGACTTTTAGAGGCCTTAAAATGTTTTGGAGCCCTCTATATACTGTGTATATAATTCAAAAATAATAATAAAAGATAAAATACATTTTTGATACACTTAAAAATTGTAACAGTGTCTTATAAGCCAGTAAATATAGTAATTTTTTTTTTCATTTATTCTGGGGGGACCCATTTTTATGGACCCCGTTTTAGCCTCACCATTTGCAGTTTTGCACCACATGCAGTGGAGTGTCGTAGCTTCAGGGGATTCAAACAAATTCGAATTAGGGGGCAATTACAGTGTTGATTTCAGACATTTTTCTTCGAGGAAAATGGGTTTCCCAGACAATTTTTCTTTTCGCCCATAGAATAACCTGCCACTGTCCACATGGTAGATCAGGCAATGAAAGATTTCTATGGTCCTGGAGGCCCTAAGCGCGTGCTTATTTTGTTTAATGGTTAATCCAGTTATGGAATAGTTCTTTAATATTTACGAGGAAGATCTATACATGAGTACAAACTCTTTAACCTCGCTATAGCGTTCTTCTTACATACACTCATATATGGACAGACTTTATAAAAAGCACGTATATATATATATATATNAATGAATGTATATACAGTCCCTATATATACTTTTAAAAAAATATTTATTTCAATACATAAATATTTCCTGATCTATATATTTTCATGAAAACAAATTTATTTCCTTTTAACAGAAGTATACAGATATATTTATTCCCTACAAAGAATATTTCTTTTTAAATGGATAAATATATATATATATATTTTCGAGAAGCGACTGAACTTTTATACATAATGCATTTATTAGATACCTTTAAAAAATTGTATCATAAATAATTGACATAAAATATTCGTTGGGAATGAATATTAAATATATTTTACATTTATAATAATCAATAAACCGTTTAAAAGTAGAAAAAATTAATAAAATATGTAGACGTAAATAATATAAATAAATAAAAATAAATTTAAAATTCTTAACTTTAAAAGAATTTTTTTTTTAATTTCACAGAGTTTATAATGTCGTAATTTAGAAAATTACGTAACTTCCGATTCAGTTCGGAAGTTCGTATATAGTTAATCGGGACCTTTGACCTCTAAATTTTTCATATCTTGTCTCGATTTTCTTATATCTAAATCTGCTCTTGAGATTAATGAAGGACGGACAGACGGACGGGCAGTAAAAATGTACAGGAAATTGCAGGAGAATCTACTAATTAAACATCTACATTCTATAAGATTAAATACGCTTAATTTGAAAAGATTTTTGGCTTTTATTCTTATCTATAATAATAATAATTCGAGTTCTGATAATCTTAATAATAAGCTAATAATTGGAAATAAAAGTCGTTATTATATTGAAATGATTGGAATCAAGGAAGGTTTAATTTCGTTTCGAGACAACAAACTGTTTCAAGACGAATCCAATTATGTTAAGTAGAAATTTATTTATTATTTTTTTTATTTAAATCTCTGAAGTAATTATTAGTTGCATTAAGTTTACTTAATAAATATCTCAGTGTACAGAGAACGTAGCAAGAGATAAATTAAGTTTCTAAATGTTAAAAGGATATATATTCTATGTAAATTAAAGTAGTAAGATTTAGTTTATTGTTTAATAAAAATAATTGCGTGCAGTTTAATCCCGTGTATATTATATATATTAACTTAATTTCCTGGGCAGAGATGGATCGAGATACTTTTGAGTATTTTAAGATTAATTCAAGCCTTTTAAATACCTAAAGAGTATATACTGTATTATGTAGTCTTGCAGATGGTGGAGCGTTATAGCTTCATGGGGACCCATGAAGCTATATCAGGGCCTCCTGCCCTTAAGCTTTCCATATATAGTCTCGATTTTTATCTATCTGACATCGTTCTTAAGGAAGGAAAGACAGACAGACAGACGACAGTAGGAGTTTATAGGTATACAATTTTTTTTCAAATTGCAGCCCAATAACCTATAATCGTAATTAAATGAGTTTTATATACATAAATCAACGCATAAATACATAAAAACATAATTCCTACATCCAACTTTATCCCGTAGATACGTGCCTTTTCCTTTATTGATTTCTTCTAGAGTGTTTGTTATCTTCCATTTAAGAATTTTATAACTTTTTAATTATTCCCTAGAGATCTATTTTCTTTTTTTTATCTGTTATTTTATTTTATTTTTTCCCCTTTCAGGAATAGTACTTTTACTGTAGATAAGATCTATTGAGTAAAGGAGAGTTTAACGATCTCGGTTCGTATAGATCTTACCTTTAATTATTATATAAAAATTATTATTGGGCTGCGATTTAAAAAAAAATTGTAGATCTATAAATTCTCACTGTCGGCCGTCTACCTGTCTGTCTGTTTTTCCTTAATCTCGAGATAGATAAAAGTCGAGATCAGATATGTAAAGCTTAGGAACAGAAGACTCCGATTAACTATATACTAACTTCCATTATAGAGAGGAAATCACGTGACTTCAATTCAAAAATGTTCTCCAGAACGACGTTACGTAGACGATCTGCACGACTCTATTGTTATCAGGAAAAGTATGATGTACAGGGGCTTGCTAACAGGAAAAGTATGATATACAGCGACAAGACATTACTAATTTGAGGTGAAGAGCATATGTTTTAAATTAAATAAATTATAAAATATGATTAAAAATTGCAGCCTGAAATTTTTGCTCGTTATTTATATTATTTAACGAGCATATATGATCACAATATCGGGCTGCAATTTTTATTCATATATTTAATTTAAAATATATGCTCCCGATTTCAAATTACTAGTGTCTTTCCGTTGTACAATACATTATACTTTTCCTGTTAACAATAGTGTCGTGCCAGTCATCTAACTAACTCCTTTCAGGGGAAAATCTTTGAACTGAAATAAAATGACTTCCTCTCTATATCGGAAGTTTGTATATAGTTAATTGGGAACCTTCTGCTCCTAATATTTCCACATCTGGTCTCGATTTTCATCTATATAATACCGTTCTCAAGATTAAGGAAGGACAGACAGACATACGACAATGGAAGTATATAGGTCTACAATTTTTTTTTCAAATTACATCCCAATAAGTTATAACAAAACATTTAAACATAAAAAAAAATCTGGTAAAATTACATCTAATCCGGATGCCGAGTTTTAATCCCTTTTGGAAACTTTTCCTAAATGTAAATTGTTTAATGTAAATTATCACGTCATTAATGGAATTTCGTGTTGTGAATTTTCATTTCACTTTCTATCAGAATTAATTTTGTGAGAAAATTATATTATATAATAATCTTTCAAATATATTTGTTAGATGTTTATTTGAATTAAATTAATAGTTAATATACGTTTGTTTGTTATTGTAGATGTGTAATAATTTGTAACAATACTTAGTAAGGTTACCATTGTCTTTCATTGTAATAACTGTGAGTTACAGTTTTCTAACAATATGTCTCGTTTTTTTATGATGTAAGAATACGATTTTTCTTCAGTAATCGAAACATTTCATAGGATTACAACTGTACGACGTTATCATACACTTCAATACGATCGATACTATCATACATCCAGTCATTTGATCTGTATTAAATAAGATGAAACACTCCTTAAATTGCTATGATGCTATAAAAATATAATTCTAAAAGCATATTGTACGATTTATATCGACATTATTTCGATACTTTAACCAGGAAGCGCGGATTTCTTCCCTTTTTTAAGTTGATTTTTAAGTTTATTTTAATGTTACATTATATAATATGCCAGTAAAATTAAACTTATAAATTTAATGCAGAATAAATCGACTTATATTTTTAGTATGGATATAATAAATATTGATAAAAATAGAACAACAATATCACCTGAGATTTACTGAGTTAAATTAGGAAAAGTTCGTTACTTTTATAGTAAATTAAATTTAATTGCTTTTATTAAATTTCGGTCATTTTTTTTTGTTCTTAAATATAAAAATGCAAACTTGTTTAAAACTTTAATATCTTATCAATATGAAAATATTTAATGTGTTTAATTTACTAAAATTAACTTAAAATAACGAAAGTTTATATAAAAATAATAACTAAATCCGAGCCATTCATGCCTGAGTTATTTTAATTTAATAAAATACTGTATATTAAACAATGTTTCCGATATTTAACTACATATAAACTACTTTTTTCTGTCCGTATAAAACAGGTTAATTTAGTAACAACGTGTGATAACTGTACTTTATGAATGTTTCATAAAAAAACACTTAAAAATCAATAACACTTACAATATACAGGTATATATGTATAACACAGTTTTATATTTATGCAGAAGTCGGCAGGTGCTATAACAAGTCACTTTTTTTCATAGCCAGGAAGCTCTTAATTTCCGTTTCGACTAAGCTTACAAGCTGCAACTAACAGGACAATGATACATGTAATAAATTTACAGGAAGCACACTTCTTCCTTTTATTCGTATGTAACAAAATATTGAATGTATTCTATAGAAAATATTTGTTTTAAATACAAGAATACATTATAAAGATCTATACTTTGACTTAATTTATAAGCAATATAAATGCTAATTTAATAATTTTTTTTATTTTATCACGGTATGCGATTGATAATCTTTATTAATTATTTATATAGTACAAGGTCTAGTAATGAGGCCAGAGTTTAATTTCCTGATTAAAACATAGGCCTAAACTAATCCTATTATTTCATATGTGAGTGGGATAAAGTATGTACTGATGATTAAGATGTTTTATCATATTCTAAGAATACAATAATGTTGATTTGAATATTTTATAAATTCACCTATAATTTTTTTTTTAAATATTTTATACCAGGAAACAATTCAAGTCTTATAATACATCTTTTAGTAGTTAAAATCTTTTAATAGTTAAGATTTTTCATTGAATATAATTAAACTAACCTAATTATGTATAAATAGGACGTTGTGTGTGTGTGTGTGTTTGTGTGTATTCTTTCTCTTAATGAACAATTTACATGTTAACAAAGGAAGAGACATGATTTAACCATAAACTTAGTTTACTGTTCTGAACAATCATTCATTACATAAATTAAACTTACGTCTTAGTAAAGTTTCAAGTTTTCTATTAATTAAATTTGTCGAATGAATTTCTTCTGTTTTTAAAATTATTTTAAAAGTTTTTCCCTCTCGTATAAATTTTGTTCATTCTGCAAGTTTAAAAAGACAGCAGAGGAATGAAGGGAAAAGTGGGGCCAAAGACGAGAGCAGGCAGTGGTGCGTTATACCTTCTTGGTCCCAGGCAAATTTGAATTAGGGGATCCCACTACAGTGCTGATTTCAGACATTTTACTTCGAGGGAATTTTCCGAGAGAAATATTTCCGTATAAAAGACTGGTTTGAGATCCCCTGTTAGTGGGGATCTCATGCAATTGTCCTTTTAGACCATAGGAAAACCACCGCTGAGGGCAGGAAGGTTTTTAGGTTCTTTATTACAATATATTATTTATAATTCCCAAAAAAGATTTGTAGGAAAAAAAGGATTTAATTATTGAGCATTTTAAATGCAAAATTGCATTTGAAGCCAAAAATTATGGCAGATGAGGCTAAGGCAAAGGGCAGGTAAGATCATGGTCTTCCGGCCTCACATCTGGCTACGCCACTAAATGTAAGTGAATATATACTATATTCACTTACAATAATACATTCTTAGTGAAAGGAGTCTAACAAGACCGGATTTACATAAAAGTTAACGTGCTACAACTTAGAACAGGGGTCCCCAAACTGGTCGATAAGGCATTTTCGGAGGTCGATCGAAAGCGGTTCATTAAAAATTATTAGTGCAATGAATTATGTTTATGACAGTTCACGATGTAAATTTTCACACTGTAAGTCAGGAGTGTATTATGATACTGCGGCATCTCTTTGATACTAAAGCAATCAGTTTTGTTACTTTAAAATAAAAATAAATATAATAACACATGACTTCGATTAGGTAACTAAAATAATTATAAGGTAATTGAATAACATCCTCCGAAAAACGACAGAGAACACGTGCCTTGATCCCCTGAATCTGCCTTAAGCAGCACCCATATTCTCAAAATCCTGGATACTCCACTGCTTTAAGTAGATCTTCTTTTTTTTTGTGAAAACGGTATGTGGATTAATACTGGTTCACCAGATTTATTTATAGTAATAGTAATAATAATAACAACAATTTGTTATTTTTTATTTTATTAATTATATTAGGAAAAAAAACAGAGAGGACGATAAAAAGTCGAAGAATCTTTGAAGGATCGACAGTCAAAAAAGATTGAGGATCATGGTTTAGAGTTTCAAGCGGCGAGAAATAGTGTACAGTAATGCTTCATTCTAAATTTATTATTATTTAGGAAAGCGAAAAGACCTCTTAGGGTCATAATAAAATCTATACTTAGCTCTGAGGTTAAGGGATCACAACCCATAAAAAATATACATTTTTAATTTTATTTAACCTCGATATAGCGTCTTCCTAAACAGTGCAAACCTCGTAAAACGTCAATGAATACTCGAGAACGGATCTTCTCCATAAATATTAAATAGAAAAGCCTTCAGTATCTATGAATTTCTAAGTGTACGATTTTGCATTACAAACGACATTGTCAACATTAAATCACACGATTTTCAAACTTTCGAACTAGAATTAATGTGCAAACTTCATTACTATTTTTTTAAAAAAGTACTTCAATTTAGTTCCAACACTTCCGTTTCAGTGGCGCTAAATCGAAATTTAACTGTATTGTACTGTACGTATTGACAGACAACAATAAAATACGATCATATAAATAAAGATACACAAAGAATACAAGAATTAGACCTAGTTGTTGTTTGAATTAATCTTTACCAAATATAATTTTAAACATCAGAAGTGTCAAAGTTAAATTGCCTTTATTTGAAATATGTTTGTTTTAATTAAACTTATCTTAAATAATGTTAAATACAGATTAATATATTTATTTATGGTTAAATAAATTTCTAAACAGTTATATATAACGAGGTTACAAACATTTGTAAGTCTAGTAATGTGTATGTGTGTGTGTGTTAAACGGATAATAATAGTATATAATATATAAGGTTACAATGTAGGTCTATCTATATAATGAATGTGTTAAATATGTTATTTATAGTTTAGGAGGGATTATGACAACATAAATTAATGCAAACTGTGTTAGTGATTATTGAGGATTAAATTTTATTACCAATTTCATGTGGATTAAAAACGGATATGGTAAGCAAATATCGTCATCTATTACGTCTATATAAATTTCTATTTAACAAGATTTTGTTGGTTTAAGAAAGGTTTAGATTTTGTTTAAGCATTTATAAACGGTAAAAAGTTAAAAATAAGATTATTTAATGTGTTATATATTTTACAAAGCTATTCTCATGTTTGCTTAATAGTTAAATTACGCGAATATCTCTATTTATTCCAATAGGAATTTAATTCCTGATATTAAGAATGAATCCTTTCTGACTGAGTATACTGTTATTTGATACTATTTTGAAATGAGATACGTAACCAATCCTTCAAAATTATGTTTACTTTAAGCAAATTTGAATTCCATTAACTTGTAAGAATCAAAAGATTTAAATCACACAAATAAATGGAATGTACCTAAATAGAAACAATATTAAGAGGGCCTGGCTTAGAACGTGCAAACCTACATCACTCCTGCATGCACTGTGTGTGGATAAAGAGTAAAATTCTTCTTAGATATTCTATATATAAGTTTGTCACATTCAAATCTCTTACTGTACTTATTTGAATGTTTCTTTATTTATTTATTTACAAAGTAAACCAGGACTTCTTAGATCCTTCTCCGATTACGCTATAGATTTTTTTCCAATTTGTTTAATGGAGTTGAATGTGATTAGACTGTAAATAACATATGTATACATGATTGATATCTTGCTTTGATATGTAATGAACAGTAACTAGTAGTTTTTACTATAATTTCTATAATTATTTTACTGATATAAGGTTATATTAAAAATTTCTAGATGTATAGAAGGAAGTTATACAAAGTCGACTCCCCTATAACACTGTTGATTTTTCCGTTTTATATGAATTCCATGTTGTACGAGTCACTTAGATTTTACAAATACGTGAGCCGTTCACAGCCCGGCATACGTATTTGTAAAATTTAAGTGACTCGTACAACATGGAATTCATATAAAACGGAAAAATCAAGAGTGTTATAGGGGGGTCGACGTACTTAAAAACGTATTTATAGTTTCTTTCTCGCTATATATATTGCTCGATATAACGTCGTCGTTGATCTTGTTCAGAATAGTTGCATCGTAAAATAAAAATGCCGTAAAAATTCAAATAATAGCTTTAATTTTAAAAACTTTTAAATTAAGAACGAGCGGCGATGTACTGATACCCCCCGATTTATAAAAGTATAGCTAGGCCTGTAGCATTTAGGCCCTATAGATTTTATAATAAAGACCTAAATAAATTTAATTCTAAAAAGAAAAAAAAAACATATATATAAAATAAATTAATACATTTATAAAAATTTAAATATTTACGATCAGTCCATATATATATAATTAAGGAAGTTTGGAGAAATTTTCTCTTTTTCCATCTGTTAAACGACTTTTATTAAATACATAATTATATTCAATATATTACTTTTATCATTATTAAGATTTATAGTTGCTTGCGTCAATTTTAAAACAATTAATTCAGCGGCATTTAGTTATCTTTTCTCTTTTTGCTTCCTGTTTTTGAATTGTTTGGACACAAGACATGGCTTTAATGAGAGGCAATTTACAAAGAACACTTAATGAATAATAAAACATGTTTTGTTTATTTATATGTATATCAGAAGATTTATAATGAGATGTTTAATTAGTGTATAGAAGGAATATATATATATATATATATATAAAGATGCGTACGCGTAGATGCTGTACGAACGTAACAACGTTCGTGTTAAAGAGAATGAATTCATAGTCTGAGTGAGAGAAGAGGAAAAAGAGGGAGGGAAGAAGGACCCTCCACATTCTCGGGTTTGTGTCGACAGCGCATAAAGGTCAATCTATCGACCGAAACCTACTGAGTAGCAAGCTGCTATGCTAACGGGGGTGTGTATATGTGCGTGCGCGTGTGTATCAACTCCGGGTAGTTCAGTCCGACTAAAGTGTATGCAAAGAATAATATATCGCTCTAGATATATATATATATATATATATATAAAATTAAATATATATAAAACTGTTTGTTAACGAGCATAACAAAGACTAACGAGACTTACTCTTACAATTTTAGGAGATAAAAATAACGGCTTCTGTTAACGACCGCTAGGTGTCAGTGTCGTTCTTCCTTAGCAACGGTTGATCGGCCATGTTGTTTGATGGTATAGCAACGGAATAGGTACGGTATTAATGAATGAACAGGTCGGAGGAAAATGCCAGTTTTAAGTCATTCGAATCGTACTCTGATGCAGAAATATGACATTATCAGGTGGTAGAAGATGCACTGGATGTATATAGCTGCTATATTTTTCTGTTATGGAACAACATTTCGTACCTTCGGACTGTCGAAGAAGAAGAGAGGTGAGCGAGTGTGAGATTTTTCCAATGTTTAAATTATTGTATTTAAGTAATTAGAATTTAAAAAGAAAGAAAAAAAAATTCTTTTTTAAACAGAGCGGAATTCTGACGTTGCCGAAAATCCGGACAATAAAACGTGGTCAGTCTAGCGTTGCATTTTAAACTGATTATTGTCCGAGTTCGGCTTCACTGCAAGTCAATTTTCGCGATTGGAATTTTAACAGTACAGCTTACAATTATTTAACATTTTTCATGCCGTACAGTGCATTTACAGTACACTTAAAAGTCTGAAGTAGGCTAAACACATACGTACGTATACGTATATTTAAATTTTTTTACAAAATATTTACGATTTTTACACGCTTAGTTCTGGTTAATTGCGGGAAAGCATGCAACGAAGGGGCATAATTACACATGAGTTATATATATGCAGTTTTATACTTCTGGTGAATTTATGTTATAGTAAATTAATCATTATGCTAAATTAACAAAATGTGTAACTTTTTCTTTTCGTATATTACTTTTTAAGCTGGATACGGGCATGTACTGTACAGTGCATTCGCAATATACAGTATTTAAAAGCCAGACATATACATACGTTTAATTTGTTTTTACAAAATATTCTACAATTTTTACACATAGTTCTGGTTAATTACAGGAAAGCATGCACACAGGGGCATAAATATATATATATATAGGGGCAGTGCAAAAGTAGGTATACACTTGAGAATCTGAGAAATACAAATGTTTGGTGTTCATTATTATTATTTTTATTATCTTTCATTAGTTCGTATTCCTCCTTATTTATTTGTGATTTAATTTGTATATAAAAAATAAATGTTTTTTGTTCCTATTTTCTTCCTGTATGCTTTTTTTCCATAATAACAATTGTATTCCTACTTTTGCACCCCCCTGCATATATACTAATGGTGAATTTATCTTATAATAAATTAAATATTAATACTAAACAAACAAAAAGACCTCTTTCTTTTTGTTTGTTATATTTTAAGCTGGATCTATGGACATGTACAGTGCATTTGCAATATATTTAAAAGCCAGAAGTGGTCTATATATACATACATACATTTAATTTATTTTTACATGGTTAATTGCAGGAAAGCATAATTAGGCAGTGTAGGGGCATAATTATGTATCAGTTGTATATATATACCAGAAGTATATATATATACTTCTGGTGAATTTATAATGAATAAAAAGTTACACTTTTTCTTTTTGTTTGTTATATTTGCAGCCAGATCTGTGATCGGAGAAATAAATGTCGGCCTATAAATATAAGATAGATTGTAATAAAAATCTGTTCTAAAATAAAACATTTAAGATTGATTAATATTTTTTAAAAAGTATGTAATTTTGGAATTTATTTTTAATATTATAATGATAGATGGACTTGAGTTTAGATTGGCTAAAATATCCTGTTTTAAAAATATGATCTTCTCAAACCCGGGTTTTATTTGCTTTCAAGATAGGGAAAGTGGGATATTTTGACAGCTGGATTATATTTTGGTTGTTTACTTGTATAAAAATTTATCAGAATATTATACTTCAAAGTCAATATTAATTAATACGTGTAAAAGTTATATGCTTACATATAATTTAAATAGACTATGTTAATGTAAAAGTAATTAGCATTACTGTTTTAGCTTTTATAAACATCAACTGTTATATTTAATTAAGTATTACAGTTATTAATTAATTTTTATATTTAATTTAAATTACAGTATATAGAAAATTTTATTATGAATTGTATTTTAAAATATATTTTTTAAAATTTAATTTGTCCTTAAAATTATTAAATTTTATTTTAATTACTCTAAAATGGATGGTTTTTAATTATTAAATCTTTTTTAATTTACTTTTTATTTCATTTCCAATGGTAGTATAAGGATTTTTAATTGTAAAGATTAAAAATAATTTTATCGTAAAGTATTTTTAGTATTTAAGTTATTATTATTATTGTTTAATTTTATAATTAGTATAAAATATCAAAAATTTTCTGTTATGTTCTTAGAAAAAATAATGAATTTTTAAAGAAATAAGTATATATTATAGATCANTATATTTAAATTTTTTTACAAAATATTTACGATTTTTACACGCTTAGTTCTGGTTAATTGCGGGAAAGCATGCAACGAAGGGGCATAATTACACATGAGTTATATATATGCAGTTTTATACTTCTGGTGAATTTATGTTATAGTAAATTAATCATTATGCTAAATTAACAAAATGTGTAACTTTTTCTTTTCGTATATTACTTTTTAAGCTGGATACGGGCATGTACTGTACAGTGCATTCGCAATATACAGTATTTAAAAGCCAGACATATACATACGTTTAATTTGTTTTTACAAAATATTCTACAATTTTTACACATAGTTCTGGTTAATTACAGGAAAGCATGCACACAGGGGCATAAATATATATATATATAGGGGCAGTGCAAAAGTAGGTATACACTTGAGAATCTGAGAAATACAAATGTTTGGTGTTCATTATTATTATTTTTATTATCTTTCATTAGTTCGTATTCCTCCTTATTTATTTGTGATTTAATTTGTATATAAAAAATAAATGTTTTTTGTTCCTATTTTCTTCCTGTATGCTTTTTTTCCATAATAACAATTGTATTCCTACTTTTGCACCCCCCTGCATATATACTAATGGTGAATTTATCTTATAATAAATTAAATATTAATACTAAACAAACAAAAAGACCTCTTTCTTTTTGTTTGTTATATTTTAAGCTGGATCTATGGACATGTACAGTGCATTTGCAATATATTTAAAAGCCAGAAGTGGTCTATATATACATACATACATTTAATTTATTTTTACATGGTTAATTGCAGGAAAGCATAATTAGGCAGTGTAGGGGCATAATTATGTATCAGTTGTATATATATACCAGAAGTATATATATATACTTCTGGTGAATTTATAATGAATAAAAAGTTACACTTTTTCTTTTTGTTTGTTATATTTGCAGCCAGATCTGTGATCGGAGAAATAAATGTCGGCCTATAAATATAAGATAGATTGTAATAAAAATCTGTTCTAAAATAAAACATTTAAGATTGATTAATATTTTTTAAAAAGTATGTAATTTTGGAATTTATTTTTAATATTATAATGATAGATGGACTTGAGTTTAGATTGGCTAAAATATCCTGTTTTAAAAATATGATCTTCTCAAACCCGGGTTTTATTTGCTTTCAAGATAGGGAAAGTGGGATATTTTGACAGCTGGATTATATTTTGGTTGTTTACTTGTATAAAAATTTATCAGAATATTATACTTCAAAGTCAATATTAATTAATACGTGTAAAAGTTATATGCTTACATATAATTTAAATAGACTATGTTAATGTAAAAGTAATTAGCATTACTGTTTTAGCTTTTATAAACATCAACTGTTATATTTAATTAAGTATTACAGTTATTAATTAATTTTTATATTTAATTTAAATTACAGTATATAGAAAATTTTATTATGAATTGTATTTTAAAATATATTTTTTAAAATTTAATTTGTCCTTAAAATTATTAAATTTTATTTTAATTACTCTAAAATGGATGGTTTTTAATTATTAAATCTTTTTTAATTTACTTTTTATTTCATTTCCAATGGTAGTATAAGGATTTTTAATTGTAAAGATTAAAAATAATTTTATCGTAAAGTATTTTTAGTATTTAAGTTATTATTATTATTGTTTAATTTTATAATTAGTATAAAATATCAAAAATTTTCTGTTATGTTCTTAGAAAAAATAATGAATTTTTAAAGAAATAAGTATATATTATAGATCAACATGTGGTGCATGAATTGATTATGCATTTCTAAACATGTTTAATTATTTATTATAATATTAATAAATATAAATAGTATTTCATTAAATTTTAAATTTAAAAGTAGTAAATATGTTGTTATTATGTTAGTTTGTCCTGCTTCATCCAATTTTTCAGAATTGGATGAAGCAGGACAAACTTATTTTGTTAAATGTTCTTATATTTTTATTTTTCTTAATTGAAGTCTATTAAAAAGTTTATATTGATGTACAGATTATGTATATTTTGTTATGTCCAAATTTCTAATTTAAAGTTAGTTTTAAAACATTAATCATTAAATATAATTTTATTTTTAAAATTTAAAATATTTTATTTATTAAGAATTGAAAGGTTAAATGAGTTGCATTATATAAGTTAAATACACATGGAAAATATGTAGCATTGTTGAAGCAGTTGAAAGGAAAACAAAGTTCATTTTTAGAATAGAAAAAAATATTAGAAGAATGATTATTGTGCTGTTGAAAAGACATGAGAAAGTGAATCTTGAATATTGCACTACACTGAAGTAAATCATAGACTCTGAAAACGAAAAAAAGGGTGAAGATTGGAAATACTTGAAACATATTGGTGGAGAAAACTATGCAAAATGAAAAGTACTAAAAGAAAATCTTTGAAGAAGTTTCAGTATTATAAAAGAGAAACTTCTGTTTGTGATAAAATAGCCATAGGTTGATAGCAAGAGATGTAAGGAAAGAGATCAAAGAATTTAGAATATATTTTTGTAATAAACGAAATATAAAATTTATTTCTTATTGATTAAACTGAAGTTTTAAAATATTGATCTATAAAATGTACTTTTAAATTATGATATAATATTGAAATCATATATGTATTTTATTCAGAATTGTCTAGTCTGAATTTTTGTAGTAGTAATAAAAGTAAAACCTATTATTAGAATCAATAGTAAACTGTCAGCTTAACATTACTGAGCAACAACTTACTACATAAAAAAAAAAGTAGTTTTAAAATTAATTATTTGAAACATGATACTTGAAATTAAATTTTTAATAATAACTTTTTTTGTTGTAAATGTATGAAAGTTATGACACAATATTTAGTTTTTTCTCAAATATTATAATATAATTCAGCATTTGTGATTTAATTTGTATATAAAAAATAAATGTTTTTTGTTCCT